CACACACACAATCTGGGTTTTTTAACCTAAGTCACTCCACGGAATCGCTAAAAACATAGAGCATAGTCTGATGAAAAAAGACGCTAAAGTTTATGAAAACAAAATTTTATCGTCAAAATGCTTATGTTTTTATAAAGAGGATAGACTAAATTTTTTTTAATTATTTTTAAAAAATTTTTCCATCTTTTAGAATATTCTAAATTTTGATTTAAAAAACCTTGTTTTTTGTCGCAACAAGGGGTAGTAAATAACATAGATAATTTTTAGCGCGTTTTTTTTTGTATTTACACACATTAATTTGGAAAATCTTGCAAAAATAAAAATAATTGTCAGATGTTAATGAAACTTTCAGAAACTATTCACAGATGATCGAAATTATTATAAATATGTTGTTTTTTTTTATTAAAGTCATGGCAGAAATATTTTTTTTATATTTATTAACGCCCCCATAACTAATTTTATGAAAAACTCTAGAAATTCGAGACCATCGGTTTTAGTGATTACAATAGTTAAAAGCACAAGGCTTTGAAGAATGCAAATCATGTTTTTTTTTTGGTTTTTTTTTGTTTTTTTGGCCAACGTACCTGAAAATCAGCTGTGAATTGTAACATACAAAACTCAATAAAACAAATATATTATTTAGTTTCAAATGCTTTTATTTGTTTTAATTTGTTTTATGAATATGGACAATATTTTCTGGAAAGCAAAAATTTTTCAATGAAAATTGAATTTTAATACAATTATTTCTTATTTCTTTAATTTTAAAAAGATTTTTAAAAAATGTTTAAATTGAATTTTAAAAAATATTTTAACTTTAGTTAAATGCAACATCAACCTTTCAAAATGTCCGTGTGAGATTGTCATTGTCTAGCGCTTTGAAAATTGTATAATTTGGACCAATCAGATTAGCCATGGTAATTAAGAAATGTAATTTTTGTGTTTATAGTCGGACAGTAATTATCAAGTACGGAAGACCAACCAGAATACAATTTAGTTGCATTATTTGAGTTCAGCATTGTTCTCCGCTGTTAAGCCCTTTACTTTTGCGAAACACGTATGGAGAAGTTAATTTGAGTTTTCAATTTCAATTTACCTACAAGTAACAGTATCATCTTATGAAATTTAACTACTGCTAAACTTGAATTTATATGATCTTATTTTTATATTAATCTCAGTTATGACATTTTTCCATAAATGAAATATCAAAATTAATAATAAAATGAATGGAAATACAAATAACACAGTAAAATGTAATAAATGTACATAAAATTATCGTATTTTATGTACACTTCTGATAAAATTTCATAAGAAAGGTACCTAAATTAATTAGATACCTTTTTTCTTGTGAAATTTAATCTCACTATTAACAGTCTTATTTTTTAATTTCTTTATATTTTCCATAAAGCATCGTAAACGTAAAAATGAAAGCTAAGTACAAAAAAAAAAAAAAAAAAAATAAAAAATTAGAGCGCTGAAAGTTTTCCTTAAAAGTAACGAGGTAAATAATTTGTTCACTTAAATAATTTCACTTCCTTCCATCCGTAGAAAGAATTACCCTCCCGTAAGTTATCTAAACGTCATGAATGTGCCTTTCGTCAATCGTCAAGCGACGCGAAAGGTTATGACCTGCTTTGTTTTATTTTCAAATTACATTTTTTCGGCGCAGAAGCTAAGTTAAGTTTGGTTCAAAATATTTTAAATAAACAGTATAATATCTGTTTTTATTAAAATCAGTTTTGAAAAAATGATAATTGATTTTTAAAAGAATATCAAAGTAAGATTTTAATCTTTTTTATCAAATCGAAAAAATGATTGAAAATGATTATCTGTCCTTTTTTTACCAAAAAAAAAAACAATATTTTAACGAAAATTTCAGACGTGCTAGGAACGATTAAAAAATATAAAAAATACCCCCAAAATAACTTGATCTTTCCTCTTTAATAATTAAAATGAAAATTAAACGAAAAATTTTTTTTTCCTCAAATTTGGCCTCCTTTTTCATCATGCTTTGCTCTTTTGTTTACATTTTCGTGGGTGAGTTGTCCCCCTTTCATTCTCACGATGTGTCTTAATCGTGTTTTCAAATTGATTTTCTTAAAAAAACAACTGTGTTTTTCCCATTTTCGGCGCTGTTAGAACCACCAAAAGGTAATTTTATGTAGTCCTGTGAAGTTTTGTTGAAATCGGCTAAAAGATGTAGGAAATTCGATCCAACATATAAACGTTACAGACACACACACACAACCTGCATTTTATAAACCTGCATTTTATAATATAATATAGATATATATATATATATATATATATATAAATTCCCAAGATGATAGAATCCAGGTCGAACTCAATGTCCAGGACAGAATAAGAATATAATATAAAAGGCGCAATATTCCATGGTTATAATTTATTACATTGGAATCGTAATCACGATCCAAATTAGACCTACAAATTCAAAAAAGCTTTCTTGAATTTGTAGTTCTAATGAATTGGATCATGATTACGATTCCAATGTAATAAATTATAACCATGGAATATTATTGTTTGAGCCTTTCATATTATATATATATATATATATATATATATATATATATATATATATATATATATATTATATAACGTGTTTCCTTTATCATTTTGTCATTAACAAACTATTAAATCTTTTCTAGTAAATTACATGGGAATCGTTAAAAGTAAAAAAATCTATGAAAATGATACAACTCAACTCAAACAAGAAAATGCAATTTTTGTACTTATTTCCATAATCGCTCTAACATTATAGTAATTTACTAAGCGTAAGTTAGACGTGTCACAAGGCCGCAAGTATGGAGCACCGAATGAGGATCAAATAAACTACTTAGCCGTAATTGATCTAGCAAAATAAACTTGTTAACCATTACACCACATCAAAATTATTGTAACATTCTCTTGTGTTGGAATAAAAGTTCATAGCGTTTTTCAGTAGGCGACGTTTGAAAACGTTATTTCGTTTCCCACATTATTGAAATTTTGACATACATATTTTGAAAGGTGACATTTCAACGCATGTGTATGTGATCTGTGTGTGGATTTTAAATGTTTCTAAGTTAAAAGTGAAGCTTGAAGAAAATTAGATGCATTTTCGTTATTTGATAATCCTATTTCTGGGAAGTAAAACAAGCTGTACTGACAACAACAAAAAAAAAAAGATATGTGTCATTTATCGATATGGTTCTTATGTGATTTGCTAGGTTCAGAAGTGGAACTTTTTATCTGGAAAACGAAGGACATTCCAGCATACCTGCAGTCATTGATGATAGCAAAGTCAAGGCATGGTTTAAAAATAATCCCGGTCATACAACACGAAACATTGCAGAGATCCTCCACATATCTATACGAGGGTTATAAGGCATTTAAAAACACTTGGATATGTGAAGCACTATAATAAATAATAATTTAATGGACCGCATATCTGTCAGCGTTTCTTTGTTCAAAGAAAAATAACACATTTTTGAAAAAAAACAAAAAAAAAACAATCACAGGCGATGAAAAATGGATAGTTTACAATATTGGAAAGCGAAAAATATTTCTGAAAAAAAAGCAAAAAACAAAATGAGCCACCGTTAATTACTGTAAAAGTCAGTTGCATCGAAAGAAGGTGACGATGTATATCTGTTCGATATGGAAGACCATTTTGTATTACAAGTGTTCTGCAAAATCAGGTTTTGAATTCAAACGAATTTGAACCAATTACAACCGATGAAAAAGTGTCCGAAATTGTCTAATCAGAAAACTGTTGCCAGACTTTACACCTATTCGTAAATACGGTAGAAATTACTTCAGCTTCACCTGACCTACTCACTCGACCTTTGCACCTTCGGATTACGAATTATTTCGATCACTACAAAATTTTCTTAATGAAAAGAACTTCAATTCTTTGGAAGCCTATAAAAACTACTTAGCCCAGTTCATCACCCAGAAAGAGGCTACATTTTGGGAGGATGGAATCATGAAGCTGTATCAAATATAGTGAAAGGTAAGAGAACAAAATGACGCATATGTGGTTGAAAAAAAATCTATGTATAAATTTCTAAGTACTGTCTTTAAAATTTACTTAAAAATGCTACAATGTTCCAAACCAATATTTGTTGTTCGGAATTATATGAATAATCATGGAAATATTAACGTATTGACCCCAATTGTTTTTGTTTTAGGTTGTTGTTTTAATTAACGAAATGATAATCTCCTCCAGGTATTTTTGCGATATGCATTCAGCCGAAGTCTTTTTTGTCTGATAGAGAAGATTTTTACAAAAGAAAATGGAGTGAGAAAGAAAGAGAAAACGAGAAATATTTCGTATATTTGTTATTGATATAATATTAAATGACATAATATTAAATATCTGTCTATATTTCTGAGATGAGGTATTATGTACACTATTTACATTATTTGGACTATTGTCATCTTTGTTACCATAGGTATTACAACGTTTCGGCCGCTGTACGCTCCGGCCTTCTTCAGTTGGATGGAATGTCGAACTGAATCCTTTATTTCGCTCACCGGGGTAAACTGTTCTAGTTCCACGTGCCATGTTTAATGGATATCAGTTATCAGTTATCTCCTGTTAATTTCCCTCTGAAAGTTATCCACTGCCTTAGCCGGGTATTGAACTCACACTCTTTGGGTCCTGTCACTGGATCTAACTAACGCCTTTTTCGCTGTGCCAGGTGTCTTTGAGGACACCCATTAAACATGCCACGTGGAATAAGGACAGTATACCTCAGTGAGCGAAATAAAGGGTTCAGTTCGACATTCGAACCACCTAAAGAAGGCCGGAGCGTACAACGGCCGAAACATTGTAATAAATATGGCGACAAAGATGAGGACAATAGTCCGAATAATGTAAATAATGTACATAATATTAAATAATATAATATTAAATAATATTAAATAATATAATTCATGTACGTTAGTCCGTGAGTTTTATTAATCATTTTATATGGATTTTCGCGATAAAAAATTCTTACCTGTAAGTTGGGACATCCTGAAGGCGTTCGAACACTTTCTTACGAATATTGAGTTTGTATATCGATGACTGTGTTGAATACGTGTTTGTTTTCTGATAATTCTGTGGCCCAAAGTTATAACTGTTTACAACAGCCAAATAATGTTCATTGTTTATTGAAAAATATTCCCAGTCCACAGCACCCATCGTCTGAAATATGCAAAGTTCACATGTATTGAGGTACAAATCAATAACAGTAAATGATTTAAGATTTATGAGGTACAAATAAAAAATAATGATTTTTATTTATTATTCATTACAACAATATCATCATTTCATATTTATTGATGCAATTGTCATGAAAGAAGCTCTTACCTCCATACTGCTAAATTTGACAAACTTTCCATCGTGCCATATATATACATCGGAATCTAACAGAGTCGTTCGACCATTGAATGCTTGTGAAACAATGAGAAATTGATAATCTAGCACCTGAAACGCTGTCATATCTCGAGCTCCTGTTGTCTTCAGTTGCTGCACTTTTTGAAAACGCCGTATCTTTCGATTCCACCGATAAATGACGGATGTAGCAAATAAACTGTTTCCTGCAGATAGAATAGGAAACAACAAAGAATATTGACTTTTCTATCCGTGTATTTCTATGTAAACAAATAATCGTTGTATTTTAGTTTCATTTGAAATAATTTCTTAATATTTATCACGACGTTTCGACCGCTGAACTCTCCAGCTTTTCTGCTCCCCGCCAAATAAATAAATAAAATAAATCGGATAGGAATTAACAAAAAATTTGAAAAGACACATGTTTCTATGCAGTGTTCTTCTTTGAATAATGTTTTCAATTTGGAAATAAAGTTATTCTGCATCACTTGAGATTTCATAAACATGGGTTTTAAAAGTTCCAAATTTAAAAAAAGAACAAGTTTTTTGGGGTTTTTTTTTTTTGCTTTCGGAGGGGGTTAGGAGGAAATGGGGAGTGGGGAATAGAGATGACTAATTTTTCCCAGAATTGATTATAACGATTTTAATAAAGAAATCATTAAGTATTGACCGATTTATTATTAAAGGCAAAAAACACAAGAATCTGATTTAGGTATTTACTTAACTTAGTCTGATACAAGGCCACAAACGTAGAGCACTAGGTGAAATTAGCACTACACAATAATAACGTTTTGGAGCTTGCTAAAAAAAAATTCCTGTGTTGCAAAAAGAAATGAGAAATTGTTTCCAAAAAAGTTTTGTCTTTAACAAAAACATATGAAAACGAATGAAAATTGATTGAAGTCACGTGATAATATTGAAGAACTGAACATAAGAAAACTGACGAAATCTAAAATTTATTTACATTCAGAGATGAAATTTTAAGAAAAAAATATCTTGATATTAGCAAACACAAAAATGACCAACATGTCTTCGTCTCTTGGCGTCTACATTATTTCTATTGAATGAAATGACTGTATTGTTTTTCATGTGGTTTTTTTTTTTTTTAATGATTTAGGAAATGTCTGAATGATCACGTATTCTCTCCACTTATGGATATAACAACGTTTTAAGGGCTCATGTAAGCTCTCCTTAAACTAGTGTCAAGTTTACCAAAGCTGGCATGGAAATAGGGTCCCTATATAAGCCACTATTCGACAAGCCTAAAATAAGAAACTGATTTATACTACGCGGTGAGTTTAAGTATGTCTACGTTCTCACAACATTGTGACTCAATACTTTATTGTAATAATTTAGATAACCTGCTTCTGAATAATGAGTTGACAATCTGTTTTGTTCATGGAACACTTCAGCTGACTTTTACCTCTTAATTACTAAGTTTGGTTTAATGCGACACAAAAGTGAGAAGCCCTGTGAAAATATACATTGGATTGTTTACGAGGCGTTCAAAGTAAAGGTCAAAGGAAGCAGCAGCAGCATAACTGATTCGACAGCCATTGTTATAAAATGAATTATAAATACGCCAAGTAGAATTGAATGATGGAAACGATGCTTCAAGTCTATCCTTATACATTAATTTATTCGAATTGTTGTTTTCAGCTTGGTTGTTATAGTAAAAATATTTCGGTCGTTGTAACCTACAATTACCTCCGGTAACGTTCTTGGAATATCAAATAAAGGATCCAATTAGAAACTTCAAATATTTCAGTTTGAACTTCTGAATACGACAGGTAACTGAAGAAACCGAAGGATACAACCGTCGAAATGTTTTGACTATGACAACTTAGGTAAGGACAACAATTCAAGTAAATCAGAGTATAATACCGAAAATTTGTTATCTTTTACATTCAAACAGAATCTACAATTTCATCTCGTCTTAAGTATAGGATTTAATCGATCCTTTTTCGATCATCAAAAGCTACAAACATTTCTAATAAAGTATCAATACTAACCTTTTGCGTAATTCACAACTGCAATGAATTTCGTTCCTTTGATATCAAAGAATTCAATATCAGTGGCTGTCCAAGTCTGAAGTTGTTGAAAAACGCGAAATTTTTGTCGCTCCATATTCCATCTGAAAATGGTGGAAATTGTAGAAGAGCCGTCCATTGCAGCGCCATAATTGGCGACAGCCAGAAAAAACTGAAATGTAAATATTCAAATAAAATTCTTGTCTTCGACAAAATACATTTGAAAAATAGAAGCAATTCTCATCAATATTCTATTTTATTGGTTTTACAATTTTTAGTTGGACTATTTGGTGGCCTCTATTTTGATCCATCTTCATGGCATCATGTGATGTATCGAATAATTAATTATTGAGATCGGCTTAATACAAGATCACGAATATTAGACGCCCAAGAAGGGCTCAGTTCACTTCGTACTAGCAACGGCCTGCTAGACTAATTCTAGACTAATTCATTGACCAAGAAAAAGAATTACAACTTATTCGAAAACCAATTTCTCTCGTTCTATTTTTATACTTTATCACTGACAAACACAAAATGTGCCAATTTTCAGTAGGCAGACAATGAACTTGAAAATTCTTTGTCTACCTCACACTTGAAAAAAAGGACATTTTTCACGCTGATTTTTTCCAAGAAGTTTGCATTCATTTTATGCTTTAATAATAAAATACACACACACACACACAGAGAGAGAGAGTAATCTTGAATTATTTCGTTTTTTGTTTTATTTATTTATTGTTACGAAACATTTATTTTATTCTTCGATGAATGACTAAAACTTTATATTTCCATTTGATGTTAACTGTTATTTCTGCCAACGCTCTATAAAGAAGTATCCAAAGAAATAAAAAACAATGTTATCATCTTTTTACTTGGTAGCTATTAAAAGTGAAGCAAATCAAAAGTTGGTGAATATAAAACTGCTTCTAACCTGTTGTCCTATTTTAAAGCTCTTAAAAGAATGAGCTGCATCACTGGGAAGAGTTTGGTAAAGCATAAACTTTCCGTTGATCCATTTGTACATTGCTGAAGTTCTGCTGGAAGTGCTTCTTGTTTTCGATCTGTTTGTGGTTTGGGCTTTATCATCGATTGGCGCGTTACTGGCAAATGCAGCAAACAACCCTTCTCCAGGAATGGAAAATACTTCAACGTCAACAGCACCGCCTTCTACCATTAAATCCTGATACCATTCAAAATAGTCCAGCTGACAGCGATCTACAACATAATTTATTTAAGACTACTAGATTTGCACTGTACGCCGTATGAAATAATATAGAGCATTAAGTTGACGATCAATAAAAATAAAGATATATTCATTATATTTTTATCTAGTTTTTATACTTATTCATTATTTCCAACCTTATTTCGAAGAGATTGATTTCTCTGTTTTAATTGGAGAACAGAGTCGAGTTTCCTGTAAGTAATTTTAATAAAGGAGGAGAAAGAAATGAGTTTTTAAAAAGAAATATCTTGGATGATTAAGTCTAAAAATAATTTGTAGATTTTTCACTATTTACCCTATTTACACTGTTTGAACTGTTGTCTTTATCTTTATTGTCATCTGGACATCTCAGAAAACTGGGATATCCAGAAAAGGCATGGCACGTGGAACTAGAACAGTCTACCCTCTCCCTGTAGACTAAATAAAGATTTCGGTTTGATATTCCAACCTTTATCACCAGAAAAAGGCCGGATGTACAACCGCTGAAACGTTGTAAATATGACAATAAAGTTGAGGACAACAGTCCGAACAATGTAAATACCTCATCTCAGAAAATGTAGACAGATATAGATTTCTCAGCTTTATTTCCTTTCGAAATAATTACAAGCAAACAACCCTGGACTCTACATAAAAACGTTCTAGATTATTTTTCCATTAAATAATCTACACGGAAAATGTTGAATTATTCGAGTTCTGGTCAAAGAAAAATTATATCTATTTCTGTCTGTATTGATGAAATTTATAGAAAGATTTTATACACATGAGTGTATTAATTTTTTCTACAAATTTAATTATTATTTGTTTCAACGCCATTTAAATTCTAATTGTAATTAATTTTACTTCATAAATGATTCAAGTCGCTTCGACCTTACGTGAATGAATCTTTAACAAAGGCCATGTCCTCTGTCAAGTAATCTTGAGTTTTAGGCAATTTTTTCCGGATCACTTTTATATTATTTGGTTGAAGTAATCAATATTGTAGTCATTACAACAGTAATTTTTAACCCAAAATGTTGGCTATAAAATTGCTGATTTATTTTCACACTGATAAAAACTTACGTCGATCAGGTGTATCTCGCCATATTCCATTCAAACATACTTTGAGTAAATTTTTCTTCAGGTCGTATGCAATATTTCCCATATCTTTCCAGGTGCAACTTTTTTCACTTGTAATTTCACTTTGATACTGGCTTCCTCCTTCAACAAAATGAAAATGCCGCTCTTCGAAATTAAAAAAGGAATTAAAAATCATTAGTTTAAGTGGATTTTAAAGACAACTTCAATCGAATAAAAATGATAAAAAGCGTTTCTTACAAAATATTCAGAATATTTTCTGGCGTAAGGCAGGGTTAGGGTTGCGTAAACATTGGCTGTTACAGCCAGTGTTTATGCAACTGACAAAAAAGAAAAGAAAAACTTCAATTTGATAAATACGTATTTTTAACACGTATTTCGTGTGTTCATGAGAAAATTAGAAGGAATGTTGTGGATGAAAGGGGTGTAAGACAAGGATGTGTCTTCTCACTAAACTTATTCAATCTACACCATGAGGCGATTCTGAGAGAATTAGAAGTCCTACCAGGTCTAGTGCCCACAATCTTGGCAGTGAAGGAAAGCAAGAAGAAAGGACTAAACATTAATTGCAAGAAGACTAGATACATGATTGTTAGCAAAACAACCAACAAGCAAATTAAACAACAATTTAAATATCTGGGGATTGTTTTAACAGAGGACAGAAAACGCGACACTGAAATCCAAAGGCGAATTGACATATCAAAAAATGCCTTCCAAAAGCTAAGCAAAGTATTAAGAAACGGTTTTCGTTAGAAACAAAGAAAAAGACTACTGAACTGTTATGTAATATCAGTCCTTCTATATAGAAGTGAATGCTGGGTAATCTCTCCATAAATGAAAAAGAAAATTGAAGCAACAGAAATGTGGTCCTACAGAAGGATTCTGAGAATACCATGGACTGAACATGTGAGCAACCACGAAGTTTTAGAGACAATGGAATGTTACAGACCACTTGTCGCAACACAAAATATAAAAAGAAAATGGTAAAAAAAAAAGACTTGTTGCCAAAGGGTATGGCCAAAGTTTCTACTCCGTTAATGTTGGGTTCTTTTGCAGGGTAAAATAAACACGGATAAAGAAAAATGACCAATAGTGACGAATGGTTAACATCGGAATAAGATTTAACAAGATTTAATTATACATGAGAACAACATAGGAAATATGTTTGCATGTAAAGATATGTGCGGTGTATGTGATATGAAAATCAAAAGAAACACTTAGCTTTTCTCCATTATCTGAAATAAAACATGTTTTCTCCTCCACTCTCTCTCTCTCATATTTCTCTTTTTTTCTTCTCTTTCAGTTCAGTCCTCTGTATTCGTATTTTCACGTGATGGAATATCTTTTAAATTCTGTTTCTCTTTCTTTACTGTTGCAAGTTTTGACCCCAAGTGATGGTTGTTCCTTTCCACGTCTTCAGCAATATAAAATTTCTCTTTCAGTTGGGAAGATTCAGCTCTGTGTTGATCGTTGCTTTCTCCAATTCGATAATTGGATGAATCAGACATTGATCTTGTCTTCGGTGATTAACACGTTGATTAATTCACCATTGCATTTGATCTGGGACTATTTGGCCTATCAAATATATAGTGTGTATGAGTTAGGGTCCGGTTTCAGTCTTTTCATTATGCAATCGCCTTTAGTTGGCGATAACAAAAGAAAGGGTGTTGATCGCACGAGATCCGCTGTCCAACTGAATCTATTTTTAGATCTTATCCGATTTTGTTTCTAGGATCAGTTGTTTATTTCATCGACTGTTGACTCCAACAGGTTGAGAGAGAGAGAGAGAGAGGGTGAACGTTACAGTTAGAGAATGAAAGAAAGAGAGATGGTTCGCTATAGGTGTAAAATGTATGGGGGTTAGGGGGCTGGCTGCGTAGTAACGTAACAGGAAAGAAAAAGACATACTTGGCATCAGGAAGAAAAAGTTGAAATTTTCTAGGGCACAGATTGAGGAATGTACGATAATTTAAATATCTAGTATGTGTTTTAATAGAGGGTGGAAAGTGACTTTCCAAAAGCTAAGCAAAGTATAAAGAAACAGGAAAATATTGTGAGAAACAAAGAAAAGAGTATTTAATGTTGTGTAATATTAGTCCTCACATATAGCAGCGAATGCTGTACAATCTTCTCACGGATGAAAAAAAGGCTTAAAGTAACAGAAATGTTGTTCGACAGACGGGTGGTGACTGAACATGTGGGCAACGATAAAGTTTTAGAGAAAACTGAAACAAAAAGGACACTTAACACAGGAAATAGATAAATGAAATTTCTAGGGCACATAAAGGGGAAAGAGGGATTTGAAAATCTGATGCTCACAGGACCGATTGAAGGCAAAAGAGAGAAAAGAAAACAACGCATAACCCACCTAGTGAGCTTGAGTAAATGGATGGCAGAGCAGGGTTTAGGAGAGATGGCCAAAAGACAAAATTTATTAAGAGCTACAAACGACAGGAAGTTGTGGAGATCCATGATCGCCAATGTCCTGAAGGAACAGGGCACATAGAAGAAAAGGCCTGTGAATGTAAAGAGTTATGAAAAAATCTTACCTGGTAAAACTAAGGTGTTTTTACCTTCCGTTCTGCCAACATTTTTAGTACAGGCTAAACTTGTGGCGTCGGTACCGGGCAAGAAAAGCAGTTCTTTGATAAGACCCTGTTGATTAGTGAATGTAAAAATATGGATTAAATGAATATGAATTAAATGAAAGCCTGAACTCTCAACAGTTAATATTTCAGTAAAGATTATAAATGTAATTAATACAATTAAACAAAATATTTAATAATTATAATAAAAACAAAAACTACAAGAAATTGTGGAGAGTCAGATCGACCACGTCCTGAAAGGACATGGCGCACAAAAATTGCTGAACTATTATGTAACTAGCAGTATAACCCGTCTTCGATCGGGTGTTTCATTAATGGGAATTTTTGCCGTTCAATCGGAGCAATTTAAAGTCAGTCCACCCGAAAATCAATATTAGTAACAACATTTGGGTGCAACTGGGGCACATCCCCAAATGGGGAGTTAACAATTTGAATGGGGAGAAGGTCCTGAAAAGGGCCGTTTTTGCGTTCTCAATCTTGCAAGGAAGGAACGTCTTCCATGGACCGTCATAATAATAATATACGATAATTTTTATTTATAATATAATTTTTTTGTAATTCTAATGATCTTACGTTAGATTTCAACTCACTTCAACTCTCTAAATTGATTGTACGCTGTTTTTTTTACAGACGTTAAATTTTACCTTTGATTTTTGCATAAAGTGTAAAAAATTAGATTTTTTTCGATTTTTCACCTTCATGTTTGAAATTTCGTCCAGTCAATTTGGACTCAAAACCGACACTGAAGAAATATCTATCAAACAGAAAAAATTTGATCGAAATCGAATGAAAACTGTGGAAACGCATAAACAACATCCGATCACACACACACATATTTTGAGAATTATAGACATAGATAAATATCAATCCGTTTGTATGACAGTGTGTGAATGTTGGACAGTTTTCCAACAGATGAAGAGAAGATTGGAATCAAATGAAATGTGGTTCTACGGAAAAATATTGAGAATTTTATGGACGGAGCGCGTAAGCAATAAGGAAGTCTAAAGAAAAATGGAAATATAAAGGACGCTTAGAATCAGAAAGAAACAGCTAAAATTTCTTGAACACATAATGAGAAAGAAGGGATTAGAGAATTTGATACCCACCTGGCATGTCGAGGATAAGGGAATGACTTACATAACGTGCTTGTATGAATGGATAGCAGATCAGGGGCGTGAGGCTTAGCCAAATGACAAACGTTACTAAATGCTACAAGGGATAGGAGGTTGTGGAGAGCCATGAAGGGACACGGCACATAAAGAAATTCGAAGAATCATACGAAGATTAAAAAATAGATAAAAAAATAAAACCTTTCTAAATTTAGTTTTCATATGAATATATTTATTCCTATGTCCTTCAACTCGATATTTAAGTTTAGCTTTGGCTGACACAAAACAAAAAAAAATGGCGTTTACGCTTTAACTTCTTACGTTTAACTGCGTTGATTTGATTCAATGTGTTGAAGTCACATTATAGAACAAAGATGACTATTGCCATTGAGAAGTTCTGAGCAAGACAATCATAAAAACAACCGAACAAACCTATCGATGAGTCTAGAATAAATATGACACAACCAGTTCTAAGCAAATTACTTTTTTTTATTTATATTTCAAAATAGCAAAAAAAAAGAAAGACAGAAAATATCTTGAATTCTTTTATTAGATGAAGCGTTGTTAACCATTACTGATTTTTGACTAGTATTCCTTCCGTCTTACTTTGTTTTTCATATTAACTACTACTACTACTACGACGACGACCGCCATTTGTGAAAAACGCAGATGAGACTTTATATGGTAAGATCGAATCTTTTGCCAACCATTTGCTGTCGTCTCTCAAATGGTTAAAGTAGCTACATCGGAAAAATGTTTCTCGGGACAAAAGTAATGCTAATTCGATTCCCGATGTGAGATTATCTTTTACTTACCAGAGAATGGTGGTCCGAGTAAATGCGATGAAAAGCAACTAAAAAGAAATACCAGTCAAAAACTAAGAGTCCATAATGCTTCATAATAGAAAATTCAAGATAAATTTACTGAATTTTACTAATGTATGTAAACAAAACAGTAACATAAAATGTGGTGGCGCTAAGCAATCAAGACAGAAATATGTTTATGGTTAGAGTTGATCGTCTCTTTAAATGTGCTCTTTATTATTGGTCATAAAATGGCAGCTGCACTAATTGAAAAGTGACAGAAATTAAAATGGAGGTAATACTATTTCAAAAAATTAATTAAGAATATTGATTTTAATGGAGTCCTTGTAAATTAAATATTATTTCAGTAACTGTATCTTGTTCTTCGTTTATGTCATGACGATCATGGCTGTCCACAACTTCCTATTTTTTCTCTCTTTTTGTCTTTGTCTTTCTTGTTAGGTCATCCGTTCACTCACGCTTGTCAAGTGAGTTACTGTTTCCACCTGCTACTCTTGTTTTCACTATTCATTGTGAGTATTACATTCTCCAAACCTTTTTTCCTTATTATGTGGCCCCAAAATTTCAGCCATCTTTCTGATTGTTAGCAACAGTTTTTGTAGTTCCTATTTTCCGTAAAACTTCATCATTTCTCAAATGCTCTGTCCATGGTATACTCAGTATTTGTTGGTAGAACCACATCTCTGACAATTCAAATCTCTTCTTTGTCTGTGAGGAGATTATCCACTATTCATTGCCATACAAGAAATTGGATATTACACAACTGTTGAGTGCTTTTTTCTTTGTTTTTAACCATATCTTAATGCTTTGCTCACTTTCTGAAAGGCATCTTTCGCTATTCTTATTTGTACCTTCCGACTTCTTCATCACGCTTTCTATTGCCTGTTACTACCCAGATAGATATAAGCCACTTATTTTCTTGTAAACATATTTTGTGTGTAATTCCTCATTTGCACAGAGACATGATGATATTTCCAGGCGTTATGTCAGTTTGAACAAACTAACGGCGGATTTGCAAAAGAAAATTACAAATAATACTAAAAACGACTAAAGAAAAACTTTTTATATTATTATAATCAATGAATATATATATATATATATATATATATATATATATATATATATATATATATAATCATTTCACCCCAAGCAAGGCAATAAAGTTACTAAGTGCGATGAAATTTATAGTTGAGAATTAAATGTGAACATTCTCCAAAATTAACATTTGAAAGGGGAAGAGAACAGTTTAATGTTGTAAATTATTTTTTTTTTTTTCATTTCTAAATCCTTAATTTAATAATAATCCATTTCTTTGTAGTAGTTGTAAATATTTCACTAATAGGAAAGACTGTTCAAATCTAGGCCAAAGCTGATATTTAAAATGATAACTTTCAAGATAGTTAGCCTCATTTGGAAAATGCAATATATTCTTAAGACCCTCACGCCATGTGTGGCCTTGTGTTATATTAAGTCGAGTTAATATAAAAATTAAGCTAAAATTCCCAAAAATGACTAGAATCTATCTAATGACAATTCTAAGGATGTTTTTTTTTGCATCAAAAGTAATTATAGGAATGGCGATTGTTCAATTATTTACTAATCCAACCATTCTTTTTTCGTCTTCTATGCAAGAGGAATTGGTTTCATGACTTTCCTAAGAGTCTAAGGGTACACTTATAATCAGAATTCGAATATTTAAATCGAAATAAAGCTTTACTTATAGCGAAATCATAATTATACTTTAGGCTTCTGTCTTGTGGCAGATATCGTTGAGTATTTCCTCTCGATGACTGAGCCGAGTTTATGTAGAAGTCAAAATATACAATGTTGATTTTCAAGACAAATGCACTTGGAATTTCCATTTAGTCTTGTGTCAAAACAAGATAAGTTTTGACAAACATCAACAATTTTATTTCAAGAAACAAAACGTCATCATTGTTTCGAATTATTAAACCTAATTTTTTCACAATTTTTCAGGTATTTAGCGCGTTTGTTCACCTATTGTTACCCTTTATTTCACTATTTTTGGGGTCTTTAACTTGTCCCATTAGTTTCATACAGAGAAACTTTTCTAGAGCCATTTTTATACAAACACTTACTTTTCTTATTGATATTTTGATAAATTTTATTTTTAATGCCTTACGCTAACTTTGGCTTAAATAATTGTATAATAAATTGAAATGAATTCAGAATTCTGTATTAGTAAAAAGGTCCGCCTACCGCCGCTTCACACACAAGAGTAAAGGTTTATCCTTTGTTTTCTGTTTAGGATTGACTTTCCTGCTACTTCTAAAGTCTTTTCATTTTTTTTTTCACTCCCAGTAATCTCTTACGTCTTAGTGGCATTATCACCTTCCTTGGAGTGAAATGATTAAAAAACATTAAAAAGATAAAAGATTACTTTCACCATACTAGACTCTTCCAAAAATATATTAAGTTGGAGACTTTCCTGAAAATGTAACTTGTCCTCAACTGCTTCTAATTCATGATAAAACATGATAAAAAAAGAAAACGTTCATAAAATCTGAGATTTTCAAATAGATTAGTAAAAATCTCGATTTCACCGACGTTCGGAAAGAAACGATTAGTTTTCTGAATGAAATTGTCTTAAAAGTCCTTACCTGAAAAGGGAATGATTTCCGTGAACATTTTCCCAGTTGAAATTCAGAACCTCTGGTGTCAAGCATTGCTGGAAAAGTGCGTCTCACTTTCCTTTTTTGTTCCTCAGAACAATCAAGAACGAGATAGGCGCCATCTTCACTCAGACTCAAACTAACACTGTGCCATTTCGATTCTGAGAGGCGCACATCAAAAAATTTTTTCCTTGTATTATTGTAAGTTAAAACAAAATGATTGTTGTTTATTTCCAAAGCTATGAGAGTGACTTTCTTCGTCGGGTGACGCAGTGAAAAAATACACTGACTATTTCGACTTGAACCAGTCGAGCTTAAATTGTCCGGTTCATATTTAAATGTAATAAAAAAGGAAAATTCTTCTGGGAAGAAAGTGCACTTAGTAAATATTTTATCAGCACTAAAACTTAAAGTACTCTGCGCATGCGTCAAACGATAAGCGAATACTTGGCTCTCAGAATCGAAACTGCGTTTTAAATTGTTGCTGTGATTCATGTCTGATCTGAGACTTTTTAATAAAATATCGATTGGGCGAAGATCTAAAAACAAAGAAAAACCGAATGTAAAAGAAATTAAAACATAAACTGATCATTATTTTTAGAATAACTTCAATTTATAGTTACATTTCTTATATCAACAAGGAGAGAGGAAGATATATAGAACGTTGGCTTAGTTGCAATATTACTATTAAGAGGAAGTAGAACTGACTAGGATTTTCCTGCCAACTGGTGAATAACTCTGCTATAATTTTTCTAGCATATTAATATGAAATAAAAACAGAAGTTTACCTACCATAGGTTTGAGTATTTTCTCATCTTAAAGTAATTTTTTCAGTAAATAAGCTAAGCAGGAATTTTTAAGTTTGTATATTGAGTGTTTAGTAGAAAGTGATTGTCGCCATATTTATCACCACTGATTCGCTTTTTCTAGTGACTTTTGTGAACGCTGCCTTGTTGATAATATTACTGCATAGGATTTTATACATTATTCGGACTATTGTCCTCATCTTTGTCGCCATATTTATCACAACGTTTCGGCTGTTGTACGCTCCGGCCTTCTTCAGGTGGTTGGAATTTTGAACTGAACCCTTTATTTCGCTCACTGGGGTAGACTGTTCTAGTTCCACGCGCCATGTTTGATGGATGTCAGTTATCAGTTATCTCCTGTTAATTTCCCTCTGAAAGTTCTCCACTGCCTTAACCAGGTATTGAACTCACACTCTTTGGGTCCTGTCACTGGATCTAACCAACGCCTTTATCCACTGTGCCTTGAGGACATCTGGGTATGAATTTCTGGGTATTATAAACCTAATGTCTTCAGCAACCATTTTTACCAGTGCTCATATTGCAATTTTGCTGTTATCATTGCATGTTTTTACCAGAGCTCATATTGCAACTTTGTTGTTATCATTGCTTTTCTCTGGCACTCCTTATTACTGATTCCCATATTGTATTTATTTCTATGCTTGGTCGGCTCAGGAGATTTTTGTGGCCTAGCATATGTGCTGATTCCTTAAGTTTACGAATTTTCCAATGGTGTTTTTTTTGTCTATGATCTCAACCTGATCCCACAGAGGGCGGTGATCTCCCTTCTCTCTCCATATGTGGTCAGCCACGCCTGATTTTTTCTACTTCCCCTCATGTTAAAGCTTTCTGGTGTTCTTGAAGCCTTACCTTGAGGGGGGCGGCCTGTCTCTCCTTTATATTCCTTTCCGCAGCTGCACGGGATAGTGTACACACAGTCTTTAGTCATGTTCTCCTCTGGGGGGGGTCTTACTCGGGAGAGAGATATCTGCGAAGTGTTGTCAAGCTTTTGAAGGTTGTCCTGATGTTATATGGACCGCAGATCCTTTGTATTTTCTCTGATAACCCCTTCACATAAGGCAGGCAGACTGTTTTCTGAGTGTTGTTGTCCTCCTCCTCTTGTACCCGCCTATCCCAGTTTTGGGGGGCTGCTGCCATGTACCCAGGGTAGTTGTTACGTTGTAGGGTACTACTTATACTGACCAATTCTTTATCTAACGTCTCTGGGTCGCCACTTATGACTTTTGCTCGGTGTTGTAAGCAACGGACAATCCCTTTCTTTACGCTGTATGGATGGTGGGAGTTGAAATTGAGGTACTGTCCGGTGAATGTCGGTTTACGGTATACGGATGTCTTAAACCCATGCTCTGTTCGAGATATTAGAACATCCAGGAATGGGAGTGTGTTGTTACTCTCTTTCTCCATTGTGAACTGTATCGAAGGTCTTATTGAGTTCACATGGTCCAGTAGAACCTGAACATCTTCCTGGTGTGGCCAGAGTATGAAGGTGTCATCTACGTACCTTAACCTTTAGAGATATAGATTCTAATGCCATTTCCTCAAAGTATAGGATTTGTTAGAACATTGCAAAAGAAGCAAAAGAGGGGATTTCAAATAAACTATACCTCATGTTCTAGTTAACAATACTATTCACCACATGTACACTAATTATACTCTCAATTATTTTAACAAATATGTATCAATATTATATTTCCTTTATTATATTAAATATTTCCTTTATTAAACACACCGGGGTTTATTAAACTTTTAAACAATACGATGTATAGTTTTCTTTTTGTCGAATTTATTTGTTTCTAATCTATTTCTATTCAATGAAAGGAGGCACTTTTTAGAATGAGACTCTTATTACATGAAAGTGGGTGTATAATTTAAAGAAGACGCTTATCATTTGATACTGGAGATTTATTACACGGAATATGGTAGAGTTATTACAAGTCATTATAATGCATTTTTTTTTCAGCTGTTAATTCAATCGAATAATAAGGAATAAAAATGAAGATAGCGTTTCTTACAAGATATTTAGAAATCCTGGCAGAAGGCCCTAATATTTTTTTCACACCGGAGAAAGATGCATAAAAGAAAAACTGATCGTAGGATGCACACCCACCCCCATCAAATCTGTTATGGAATAGGCAATGATCGAAAAATGGTTGTGCCGAACATTAGCAAATGAATTTAAAATCCATTCTGTTACACTTCGATGATATTATTAAAAGTCTACGACCAGATGCTATTGGAAGTGAAAACTGAGCATTATGGGTATTTTAATATTTGGAGGGTTTTCAACCAAATAAGGAGCAACTTTTCTTACACTACATTCTTTGAGCATAAAATTTCTATTTTGTATTCTGAATATTGCGTGTCAAATTTGCCGCCTGACACTTTCACAGTCTTGCGTAGAGATTACCGACAAAAATTGATTGCAACCTTTTCATATGAGACATTAAAGCATTCTGGGTAATGCATCCAGCTTCAGTCGACATAACATGTCCATCTTTATAATATCTATAAGATTCTTTCAGACTATTGTCCTCGTCTTCGTTTTTGTTATCACAACATTTCGGCCGTTGTGGACTCCGGACTACATCAGGTGTATGTCGATCCGGTTTCAGTGAGTGTAGTAAGGCATGACAAGCAGTAGCATTCATCAGCAGAAAGATTAGGTTTAAGGCTCTCCTCAGAGAATTTTACCACGAGACAACAACCTAGAGTTGATTAGTGAATATGGTGACATACTAACTGTGAGTTCAATCTCTCGATATGGCAGGTACACACCTAGAAATTGCACTCCAGAAAAATGTGCAATTAAGTACTAAAACTAAGAACTATACGAGATATCCCTAGACATGGGCTGTGGCACGAGAACAATCTATTCACGTAGATTAATTAAAAGGTTTATTAAAAGGTTAATTAAAAGGTTAATTAACGGGTTAATTAAAGGATTCGGAATTCCCTGTAGGTTACCCGGATAAACTTAAACCTGATGAAAGCCGAAGGGCGAAACGACCGAAACGTTATGATAACAACAAAGATGAGGACAATAGTCCGAATGTAAATAGTGTAAATACTTCCTCATCCCAGAAATTCAGATAGAAATTATGAGAATTTTCATGCGAGTTATAAATTCTCTCCAGAAAGGGTCTGAAATGTCGACGAATACGTATGTACAACAGTGTAGGAACCAAGACATACAAAAAAAAAAAAAAAAAAAAAAAAAAAATACGGTAAAATAAGTTGGTACAATGTTAATTAGTGACTGCAATACTAAAGGCTGTTCCATTAATTTGGACCGATTTTAAATGTGAATTAAGTTTAAGCGTCTAATGATTTTTTTTCTTTTCTTTCAGATTTAACAACTTAAGTCTTTGGCAATTTCAACCATGGAAAAATTAACAATCAAACAACGTGTTAAAGTTTCAAGAGTGCAATTGGAAAAAATTGTTCTTGAATTCAACCAAACTGGGTCTTGCTCTTTTATGCCGTTCAGCTGAAAACATTGCTGCAGTGCATGAGAATGTGGCCTAAAATCCAGACCCCTCTATTCGTCATCGCGCGCAAGAATTGAACCTCTCCAAGACAAAGTTACATCGTTTCCAATTGCACTCTCGGTTGGTCGATTATGTTGACTAAAAAAATCGCGAAGTGCGTGAAATGTATTTCTGTTTGAACGTCCATTTTCGAAATTAGCTTCTATAACTTTAACAGGTTGTTTGATTGTTAATCTTTCCATGGTTGAAATTGCCATAGATGTAAGTTGTTAAATCTGAAAGAAAAAGAAAAAAAGACGCTTAAACTTAATTCACATTTAAAATCGTTCCTAGTTATTAGAACAGCTTTTAGCTAATTTTCTCTTATATTTGCGTTCATTTTAAAGACCTTTTCAATTTCTTTTATGATGCACTAACCAGTTGCGGCACATTCACCTCAAGGTGGATGACAGCAACAAATTTTAATTTCCTGAAGCATTTTATGGCACATGTAAATTGTCCTTCAGACAAAATGTACTATTACTTCTTGACAATCATGAAGGTCACATCAGTGGAGAGATCATTGACTATGCAAAGACAAAATGGCCGAGTATTGTCCCTTCACTGTCCACATAAAAGTCAACTCCTTGTTAGGAGTGTTCGGAAACCTTCAAAAGACCTAGTATATCCTTTTACTGTTGACACATAGATGAAAGAAATCAAGGGAATAACAATGACACTTTATAAAATTCCTGAATTATTA